TGCTGCCTGGAGGCCCCAGTGGTGAGGACAGCAGGCCCCTGGGGAGGTGCGTCATGCCCTGCAGGGCTTGCTCGGGGATGACCCTGAGGTCACCATACTCTGAGGAGGAACTGTACTTTCTTCTGGCTGGCTGGCACCTCCCTGTCAGGAGAGCTTAAAGAACGAGCACTTGGGAAAACATCAGAAAGAGGCAAAGAAGCCTGTTGCTGCTCAAAACCATAGCAGAAGACAAGCTGCAAGCCCAGAGAACGTCTCACGCCACACTGCTCCAGGGACGGGGGCTCCCACAGAGCCCAGCTAGCAGCCCTCTGGGGCCCAGCTTGGACAGGCCGAGCTCTGTTGCCCCGTTTTCTCCTGCTGCAGGGCCTTTGGGTCTGCTCGTCTCCACAGAGGCACCCAGCCCAGCGGACCGCAGCAGCCCACGACTCCCAGCCCACCCGCACCTGCGCGAACTGCCCTCAGCCAGCCAAAGCCCAGCGGCTGCCTCCCTGCTACCCAGCCAGGCTCCCCTGGCGAGGGGACTCGCCTGCCTTGGGGGGAGAAGGATGTCACGACCTCCCTCAGCACTTGGCCGTGGAGGCTCTGCCCCTTCCCGCACCCTCCCGGCCTCACGTATGGACTCAACTCTCCTCCCGGCTGGGATGCTTCCCTCTGCCTTGTCCACAGGGCCTGGCCCACGCCCACCACCCAGGACTCTTCCCAAATATCCCTGCTTGGGCCGATCGCTCCCTTCAGCCGGTCCCTCTGCTCTGTAACCGCCGTGTACCACCTTTCCAGTCATTTTCCAGACAACCTTTCATCTTCCTGAAAGATGCCTCAGAAACGCCCCCTTATTTACCAGGCAATCTCCTACTCATCTGTCAAACCTCGGCTTTAAGTCGTTTCCTCCAGAGATTTTCTGATTCCCTGCCCACTCTGAGTAGAATTGACTTTGCCTGCTCGGTAAACTGCCGTGCCGCCCTCACACCGTGCGGTGGGAGTCTGCTTGTACACTCGCCGCCCCGGCGAGACAGCGGCCCCTCCAAGGGCCACGTCCGGCTCTTAGTTTTCTTGTCACTCCCCCCTGACATGAGTGTCACCGGGATTACATGATACAATGCACAGAGGACACTTGGCGTGGAGCCGGGAGAGCCAAGCACTCAGTGAATGGGGCTCTTGTGTCACTGCCCCAGGTCTGCCTGGCACCCCAGGGCCAGGCCAGCACAGATGCCTGTGACGATCTGCTGAACTGAACTGGAAGGCAGGGGTGTGAGAGGCTGAATACACAAACAGACAATAACCAGGCCGAGTATAAAAACAGAACCCTGATCCACAACATGCAGCAACCTGCCCGGAAACCAACCCCTGATCTGCAATAACCAGCCTAGGACACCAGCCCGCCACACGTTGTAGGAAGTCAGACTCTGTCTCTGGCAATAATCTAGGAAGCCAAACAATATCCTCTGTAACACCTGATCCCAATGGTCAGGACTTGATTAATAACTGATGGCGTCCCTGATTTTTGTCCCTGCTTCCAACTGAGGACCAACCAGAGAAAGCCAAATATGCGCCCCTCAGCATCATGTAGGACTCCCCGATTCTAGTCTGCAGCTGCCCCCTGCCAACAGCCGAGAATCGGAAAGTATCTGCAGGTTTCCCTTATTTCTACGATTCAGCTGTCCCACTGTGCCTTTGAGTCTCTTCCAGAACACCAGTGGTGGCGGCTGACTCCCTTGCCATACAGCAAACTCAGAACAAATAGCCTTTGCTTTTCTCAGGTGGGTGGTCTTTGTTTATTTCCATAGCTGTGTCTCATATACCTCTGGTGTCTGGCAGGCCCAGGTACACTCAAAAAAGGAGCTGGGTGGCTAGGGAGGAAGTGGGGTGACTGCGATCCAGGAAAGAGGGGACAGAGCCACAGCCATAGTGGGGGGGACCCATCGTCCACAGGTCCCACCTGCCGTCAGACCAGTTCCATCTGTGCCCTCGGCTTTCTCAGGTCTTGCTTTTTCCTTCCATGAAATGGGTGAAGGACATCGAGGCCGTGGAATCTCTTACGGATGGCCCAGCCCTGACAGGGCCTCAAGACTCAGCCCTGGAGACAGCGGGGCAGGCAGGGAGGAAGCAGAATGTTCTCTCCCCAGCCCACCTCTGTCAAGTACCCAGAGGAGGACAGAGCAGGCCTTGCAGAGCCCAGCAAAGCCTGTCTACGCCTCCCCTTCACATATGAACAAAGAGGGTTTTTCTAATTGAAAGAAAAACCATAACAAAGGCTCAGGCCCAGAGCCACCTCTTGGGGGAGGGCAGCCAGAGACACACTAGGCTCAACCCCTCCCCACCACTGTCCACCACAGCCCTGGACCTGCTGCTTCTGTGAAATCCAATTAGCAGGCACACTGGCCTTCCCTTTGTGATCCGAGGTGGTGTCGGGGGGTCTGGAGCCGCTGCAGCGAGGAAGGAGTTCAAACAGCATCCTTCAACAGACTTGGACTGGAGGGTGCTCTGATAAACATAATTCCCCAGACAGCCGGAGACGGATGTGTGGCACTGTAAGTGGCATTTCTCTGGCACTTTTCTCCGTGCCCCCTGGAGAGGGCCTGCTTACTCATGCCACGAGGCACTGCTCAAATGTCAAGTCCTTTGAAAGCTCTTGCTCCATACTTAGCCCCTGCCCACGCCACTCTCAGGAAGGATTAATTCCCCTTCCCTGTGGTTCCTTCCAGCATTTTGTCCATGCTAATATCACAGCACTATCTCAGCGGTGAGGATGAGTCTGTCCGGAAACCCTGGCTTCCTTCGGGGAGAGACCCTGGTGGATGAGCCTTCTTTGTCTCCCTGACTCCAAATAGGTCTGGGACACAGCAGGTGCTAAGGGGAAGGTCTAAGGAGTGCACAGAAACTCTCCTCGCACCCAAAAGAAGCCGCCCACCTGCCTGTGTCCTTCCTGGGGGCCCCAGACAACCTCCACCATGCATTTTCAATTGTTCTCTCCTCCTCTGGAAAGCAAATATCCAATCCCAATTGGATGGACACAGCAGTAGAGGATGCTTGAGCTAATGCAGGTGGCTTAAAAAGACAGCGCTGGCCTGCAAGGTGGACAACCTGGGTTCTAGTCCTGGACCTATTCATCTGAGACCCTGGACAAGTCTCCTCCCTCCCTGACCTTCCTTCTCCACCCAGGAAATGGGATGGCAGAGGCAGTGCTATTAACAATATATTTCTTGCATTATTTCAGGATGGGGAAAAAAAAGAAATTAAATATATAATATAAATAAAGTAAAAAATTAAAAAAAAATAATAAAAAAAAAAAGAAAAAAAAACCAATATATTTCAAGAGAGTCTCTCAATTGGTGGCCCATGGACTAAATCTAGCTTGCAAATATGTTTTATTGGCTGTCATATTATGTAAAACCTGGGGAAATTCACATAAAAATCCTTATTTGCAGTTTTAATTAAATCAGCAGAAGAGTGGACAACATTGGCCCATTTTCTCTCGTGGTACACCTGGCTAAAGCTGGGCAGGCCATGTACTTGTTTGCCACAGTCCCCGCCACTCCCTGTTGCAGCCCCAACCTAAGTCACTCATTCCTTAAAGCTAGGCTCTCAGGCACTTGTGTTTATAATCCCTGAGCTATGGTCAGGGTACCATGGCTGTGGCACTTTAGAATGACTGGTGTGGGTACCAACAAATGCCTAGGCCCAGGCCCACACCCAGGCGTTCTGATTCAGCTGGTCTTGGGACCCAGCCTAGGCAACAGCGTTTGCAGAAAAGCTCTGATTTCAGCCAGGGAGGAGAACTGCTGGTCCAAGGGGCATGCTGACTGTGAGAATCTGTCTCATTTGTGTAAAGAAGCAGCTGCCAGGAAAAGAAAGTGGGCGAGGTAGGCCAGGTTAAAAACATCCACAGGCCTTGCCCTAGTACCACCACCATCCCGCCGCCCCCATTATGGGTATTTTAGCTTTTCAGGCACAAATGCAATGAGCTCTGTGAGCTTCGCTCAGAAACAGGCACACAGACTAATCCCTCCTCCTTGGCCTTCTGTTTGTACCTTTCCAGGTCCTGCTGGTAGCTCCCACCTGAGCCACTGTACAAGCTACTTCCCGTCCCTGGATCGTGCTTGCGAATTTACACCACCCTCTCCCTTCTGGGCGTGCCCAATGCCCACCCCTCCTCCAGGAAGCCTGTCCAACCTAAATTCAGCTGTATGAGATAGGCTTGCTCAAGTCCCTCATGCACTATCAGCATTCTGTGTATTTGTTGCTTTAAACAAGATCTTAGACTCTTTTCACATAGAGAGTTCCAGAAGGCAGGAACCACCTCTCCTAGGCTTGCTGTGTCATCTGCAATTCTCCAGCCCCACCATTTTGCAAACACACAAGTATCCAGGCCGCAGTTCTGTCCCAGGTGTCTCTGAGCAGCGGTGACATCTCACAGAAGGGTGGGGCGACTGCTCTCTAGTGAAGGGGGCAGGCATGCAGTGGTCATGCAAACTGCTCATGCATCCAGAGGAGCCATTTCAGCAGAATCTACAAGGCCTATCTGCTGGCCTCCTGCCATCTCCCTGCTAAGCACCATGTCCCACATGTTCAGTGTGCACCCAGCAGAGAAAATGCCAGCATCCCTGGCATCTGTCACTCCTGAGCTGGGAAAACAACACAGAAGAACAAAGCTATACTGGAGGGTGAGAGGGAGGCTCGTTCAAGGCTACTGAGAAGTAATGACTTCTGAACCTCAGGACCCAAACACCCCACCACTGCTCTGTTCAAAAAAGAGAATCACTTCAGGACTCACACCCTTGTCCCTTCATCATTCTGACTCACAGCCAGCTAGAGGCAGAAGTGACCTAGAGATTGCCAGGCTGCAGGGAGAACACAGGTCCATCTTCAAAGTCTACCCCTTGGGATGACTTCGTGGGTCTAGCTGACCAGGGATGGGTTCTAGAGATACACCCCAGATAGTGTCAGAGACTGAAGGACATGGGACGGCCATGCCCTCTTGGCTGGTGCCGACCAGGGCCTACCTCGGAGCTGACTGAATGTGGTCATGAACTTGCTGGTGAGAGACTTGAGCTCGTTGTTAGCCAGTGTGATGAGGTGGATCTGGTCGGAGACATTCCGCAGGACCTTGTAGATGCCAATGGGGAAGGAAACCAGCTTGCACTCGGCCAGGTCTGCAGCCAAAGGATAAAGACAGACCAGAGCATCAGCCACAGCTGCCCACACGCTTGCCCCAGACCCGCATGGACCCCAACCCCAGCCTCCTCCCGGCCTCCTTGCCCTCCCACCTGTCTCCCTGGACCGAGCTTCAGATCCTGCCCTCCATCTTCCGGGGACTTTCCTCAACAGCATTATCTCACCTGTCCTTCCCTCGCGCCCTAAACCTTAGGATTTATTCTAGCACCTTCCCTATTTCCACAGCCTGCTAGCTGGTAGCATGTCTACAGGACAGTGATGACCAACACTCATAGCTGTGTCCTTGTAGCCCTGCAGAATCCACAAGTCCCTCTGCAATAATCAAAGACTCAACAGTGAAGCTGCAGTCTTAAGAGCACTCCACAATAGTCTACTTTGAAAACAGGCAATTCACACAGGCTTTGTGGTTTGACCTTCTTCCTAGCCCTTTCACACTGAAGGCGAGCCTTGGACAGGCAGCGGCTGGGAGGCCGCGGAGCACGACAGTCTGGCAACTCCTTACATGGCCTAACACAGAGTTATAATCTGACCCAGCAACCCCACTCCCAGGTATACACCCAAGAGAAATGAAAACATATTAATACGTCCACGCAAAAACACATGACACACAAGTGTTCATAGCGACATTATTCACAATAGCCTGAACATGGAAACAACCCAAATGTCCATCAACTGAGGAATGGATCAGCAAAATGTGGCATATCCATAAAAAGTAATGTTATCCAGAAATAAAAAGAAATGATGCCAGGTGTGGCAGCTCATGCCTGTGATCCTAGCACTTTAGGGAGGTCAAGGGTGGAGGATCACTTGAGACCAGGAGTTTGAGACCAGCCTAAACAATGTAGCAAGACCCTGTCTCTACCAAAAGTAGAAAAATTAGCGAGACACAGGGGCACCCACACCTGTAGTCCCAGCTACTCAGGAGGCTGAGGCAGAAGGAGCACCTGAGCCTAGGAGTTTGAGGTTGCTGTGAGCCAGGCTGATGCCACGGCACTCTAGCCCAGGCAATAGAGCGAAACTCTCTCTCTCTTAAAAAAAAAAGGAGGGGGGGGGAGGGCTGGGCGGAGTGGCTCACACCTATAATCCTAGCACTCTAGGAGGCTGAGGTGATCGGATCGTTTGAGCTCAGGAGTTCGACACTAGCCTTAGCAAGAGCGAGACCCCATCTCTACCAAAAATAGAAAAAAAATAGCCAGACATGGTGGCATGCACCTGTAGTCCCAGCTACTTGGGAGGCTGAGGCAGAAGGAGCACCTGAGCCTAGGAGTTTGAGGTTGCTGTGAGCCAGGCTGATGCCACGGCACCCTAGCTGGGCAACAGAGTGAGACTCTGTCTCAAAAAAAAAGAAAAGAAAGAAAAAATAAATATATAAATTGCATTAAAAAAAAGGAAGTCAGCCACAAGGGCTTACAGATCATTCACTCCATTTATATGAAATTACTAGAATAGGCCAATCCATAAAGACAGAAGGTAGATTAGTGACTGCCTAAGGCTGCTGGGGATGGGGGTAGTGATGACTGAAGGGTAGAGGGGGGTGGTCTTTGAGGGGTAATAAAAGTGTCTAGGATTGTGGTGACATTAATAGTTGCATGACTCTGTGAATCTATTAAAACCATTGAACTGTATGCTTTAAATGGGTGAACTGTAGGGTATGTGCCATATCTCAATAAAGCCAATACGTGTGTGTGCATGTACATATGTATACATGCAGCAGCAGGGGGACACTGAAAGCACAAGGTCAGAAACGAGGCTGCCCAGCTCATCTAAGTGTCACTCACGTTCCCTGAGCCTCAGTCTCCTCATCTGTAGATTGCAGGTATCATCATCTACCTAACGGGGGTGTCAGGAAAAATACATGCAATAAAATGATGACTAAAAAGCACCTGGCACATACCTAGTGGGGATGCTACGAATGTTCTTTCTCTCCTCCCTTCCACTTTACCCTTCCCATTCTATCCAAATCCATTCTATGCTTCAAGGCCGGCTCCCTTCCACCTCTTCCAGAAGTCTTCCTAGGTCACCCCTGTTGCTAGTGGTCACCTCCCCACCCCGAGCCCCAGGAGCACTCACTGCCCATCTCTCACTCAGCAAACTCCCACCTGTCCCCAAAGAGCCGAGGCTCTTCTTGGCCTCTGAGTCTTTGCATGTTGCTCCAAAATACATATGCAAACTTTAATAATATTCCCATATGCAAGCAATAAAATATAGTTTTTATTTTTTATTTATTTTTTTTTTTGTTCACACAAGCCTTCCAGAGAAAAATATAGTTTTTAAAGACCCTGTCCCTAACATCAACAATAATACAAAATATATGGAAACAGTCATAATTGAAGCCCTTCTTCCTCATCTGCCTCATAGAATTTCTGCTACTGCTTCAAGACCCAGCTCAAATGTCACCTCCTCCATGAAGCCTTCTCTAACTGCCCTAAGCAGTTAGTTGCTCCAGCAGCTCAGCCTCTTCACCCTGCATCGTATTAACCCCTTTTTGTGTCAGTTTTCCCACTAGACTGGAAAAACCCCCAGAGCACAGTGCCAGAGCGCAGCAGGCTTGAGGGCAGGGCAGAGTTCTGTGACCTCGCTGAGGACGTTTGAGAAAAGATAGGGGACAGGTGGGAAAAGGGCAAAGGTCCAGGTGATTGAGGGGACACAGGGCTCCTCTGACTGGCAACAGGGATGTCGTTAATGTAGTGCTGTCCAAGCCTACTCTGGTCAGGGGCCACGGTAGGTAACCCCGGCTGCTGTCCAGTGTCAAACATCAGCTCTTACATCGGCGGGGAGAGTGCCCAGTCCTGCAGGCAGGAGGAATCACTAGAAGTCAGGCTTTCAGAAGTGGGAGATGAGGGGCTGAGCTGGACGTGGACCAGCAGTTGGGCTCAGAGTTTGGGGCAAGCTGGGAATTCTAGGAAGAGCAATACTTCCAAACAACGAGCCCCTTGGCGCTTTATTACAGATACGCGAAGGGCTGGACAGGGGTTTTTGTAGGGGTTGTTGTGAATTATCCCAGCCCCTTTGGGTAGGAGCAGACAGATGTCATCACACATGCCAGGAGCAACATCAAGGGAATGGCAGAAGCTTTCCCTTTGAAACAAAGAGCAAAATAACGATGCCTTCGGTCACCAGTATCCCTGAATACAGTCTTGAAAGTTCTGGCCAATGAAATAGGAGCACAGACATTGAAAACAGACAAAATGATTATTATGTGCCCATAGAATGACTGCGTAGGCTCAGAAACCCAAAGCAATTATCTGACAAACCACATGAACTAAAAAGAACTCAGCAAAGTGGGTAATCAGAATAAATATGCAAAAGTCAATAGTATTCCTATACACCAGCAATAAAATATAAAGGCCCTATTCCAAACAGCAACATTATAAACTACATAGAGATAATCATAATGGAAAATGTATCTGACCAATATGAAGAAAAGTAGAAAAGTTCATGTATCTTGTTTTTACAAATAGATTTATATGTGAAGATATATAACATGTTCATTGACGACAACTCAAAATATTGAAATGATGTTGCTTTGCTCTAGCAATTAATTTCTATGTTGTTTAATGTAATTCCTACCTGAATTCCCAAAAGGTGTTTTTAAAAACTTGATTAAATGGTTTTAAATTTTACCTAGGGGAATATTCAAGCAAGATCCTCAAAAAAAGAAGGTGAGGTTATAACAAATATGGCTACAATAATTAAAACAGAAGGCAAAAGGAAAAATAGATCATAGAAATAAAATATATAGTCCTGAAAGTATTAGTCCAGAATTAATATGTCATAATTTGATAAACACTAAAGGGGGCTTCACAAATAAATTGAGGAATGGAAGGATTAATCAACTGATGTCAGAAATACCACATAACAATTTTGGGAAAACAAATGAGAAAGATTAACCTAAGAATCAAAATAAATTCTAGATAGAATCACACTTTAAATATTTTTTGAAATGAAGCAAAAAAAAAAAAAAAACAATCAGAAGTAAACAGAATTGAACATTTATACAACGTCTTAAGCAAGGATGATTTTCCCAGTCTAGGAGCTATAAAAGAATCACAAAGGAACAGATCAACAAACCTAACCGTGTAAAAATTGTAAAACACTTAGACACTTGAAGAAAAATAAGACAGGCAACAGATTGTGAACAAGGATCTGTAAATAGGATACATAAAGAGTTCTCTTGGCCAGGCACAAGAGGCTCACGCCTGTAATCCTAGCACTCCAGGAGGCCGAGGTAGGAGTATTGCTTGAGCTCAGGAGTTCGAGACCAGCCTGAACAAAAGCGAGACCCCATCTCTACTAAAAACAGTAAAATATTAGTTGGGGATGGTAGCGTGATCCTGTAGTCCCAACTACTCGGGAGCTGGGGCAGGAGGATCACTTAAGCCCAGGAGTTGGAGGTTGCTGTGAGCTAGGCTGACGCCACCACACAGCTCTAGTCTGGGCGACAGAGTGATACTCTGTCTCAAAACAACAAAACAAAACACACAGTTCTCTTTATTACCAAAAATGCTCAGTATAATTGAATAAAAAAAAAATTAAGACTACTTGAGAAAGAAAGGTATTCACAGAGGAAAAAGTATAATTAGTAAACAAATATATGGCTTCTGATATCTGTTACCAAATTACTTTTCAGAATATTTATGCCAGTTTACATACATCCTGTCCAATAAGTAATAGGATCATTAAAAAAAAAAACTTGCTCCTAGCACTCTGAGAGGCTGAGGCGGGCAGACTGCTTGAGGTCAAGAGTTCAAAACCAGCCTGAGTGAGACCCCGCCTCTACTAAAAATAGAAAGAAATTAACTGACCAACTAAATATATATGAAAAATTAGCCAGACATGGCACATGCCTGTAGTCCCAGCTACTCGGGAGGCTGAGGCAGAAGGATCACTTGAGCCCAGGAGTTTGAGGTTGCTGTGAGCTAGGCTGACGCCACGGCACTCACTCTAGCCTGGGCAACAAAGTGAGACTCTGTCTCCA